TCAGCACAGTGAGGGCGACGCGCAGATTCAAATTAGACCTCGCCATCCCTGGGGGGCTGCGATCTGTGAAACTGTCGCCATTTTCGAGGCCTGCTGGGGGGCCCAGCACAGTGAGGGCCACGCGCGGATTCAAATTAGACCTCGCCATCCCTGGGGGGCTGCGATCTGTGAAACTGTCGCCATTTTCGAGGCCTGCTGGGGGGCCCAGCACAGTGAGGGCCACGCGCGGATTCAAATTAGACCTCGCCATCCCTGGGGGGCTGCGATCTGTGAAACTGTCGCCATTTTCGAGGCCTGCTGGGGGGCCCAGCACAGTGAGGGCCACGCGCGGATTCAAATTAGACCTCGCCATCCCTGGGGGGCTGCGATCTGTGAAACTGTCGCCATTTTCGAGGCCTGCTGGGGGGCCCAGCACAGTGAGGGCCACGGGCAGATTCAAATTAGACCTCGCCATCCCTGGGGGGCTGCGATCTGTGAAACTGTCGCCATTTTCGAGGCCTGCTGGGGGGCCCAGCACAGTGAGGGCCACGCGCGGATTCAAATTAGACCTCGCCATCCCTGGGGGGCTGCGATCTGCGAAACTGTCGCCATTTTCGAGGCCTGCTGGGGGGCCCAGCACAGTGAGGGCCACGCGCGGATTCAAATTAGACCTCGCCATCCCTGGGGGGCTGCGATCTGTGAAACTGTCGCCACTTTCGAGGCCTGCTGGGGGGCCCTGCACAGTTACGCCACGGGCATGTTCAACCGAGACCTCGCCACCCATTGGGGGCTGCGATCTGTAAAACTGTCGCCATTTTCGAGGCCTGCTGGGGGGCTCAGCACAGTGAGGGCGACGCGCAGATTCAAATGGAACCTCGCCATCCCTGGGGGGCTGCGATCTGTGAAACTGTCGCCACTTTCGAGGCCTGCTGGGGGGCCCAGCACAGTGACGCCACGCGCGGACCCAAATTAGACCTCGCCATCCCTGCGGGGCTGCGATCTGTGAAACTGTCGCCACTTTCGAGGCCTGCTGTGATCCCCGTTTTCGAAGTGGCTAGGAGTGCCCAGGAATTGTAACTCATCAGCTTTATCAAGCCCTTTTTCCTGTAACCAGTGTCCTGCGAGTCTCCCGAATTCCGTCTGCAGACATATGTAACCCTCGCTTCGTCATCGCCCCCTTATAAAGTATCCTAAACTATTTGCGCCCCCCTTTCGCGCAGGGGTTGGGTACGTCGCCAGGGTAATTAAGTAATTCGTTCCTAACAACGATTCTCTCAGTACGGACAGTGACCTGAGACGTGGTTGACCGCCGAAGCTCCCAGTACGGAAGTTGGCGTGAATAACTTTGAACACCAAGGCTCCCAGTACGGACGGTGGTGTGAGTAATTTCGGTGAAGTTTTTGAAGCGCTCGTTCCGTTTCTGGGTTGGCCCAGGTCTAGTGGTTTTCGGCCCATACCGCCACCGTGCTTGGGTTGTGGGTTAGAGGCCTCTTGGCTGTTCCTTTGGGTATCGTGGGTGGCGTCTCGGGGGCCTCTTGAAGGCAGATGTGATGCCTTTTGGGGTCAGTTTGGGCGTGAGACGCATGTGGAGTCGCCAATGGGGCCTTAGGTGGAGCTCTCTGTGGGGCCACGAAGCGGTGTTCTGGATGGGGGAGACGCATGTGGAAACCGCCGCTCGGGCCTTCGGTTGAGCTCCCTATGGGTCCACGAAACGCTGTGCTGGCGGGGGGGGGGGGACGCATGTGGACACCGCCACTCGGGCCCTAGGTGGAGCTCTCATTGGGTCACGAAGCGTTGGCTGTTCTGGGTGTGTGGGGGGGCGGGCGCATGTGAACACCGCCACTGGGGCTTTAGGTGGAGCTGCCGATTGGGCCACGAAGCGCTGTGCTGGGTGCGGGGGACGCATGTGGACACCGCCACTGAGGTCTGAGGTATAGCCACGGGACGCTGTGCTGGGTGGGGGGACGCATGTGTCCTGCGGCTATTGGGGCCTCAGGTGGAGCTCCCTATGGGGCCGCGAAGCGTTGTGCTGGGTGGTGGGGGAGGGCGCGTGTGGACACCGCCACTGCGTTCTTAGGTGGAGCTCCCTATGGGGCCACGAAACGCTGTGCTGGGTGGGGGAGACGCATGTGAACACCGCCACTGGGGCCTTATATAGGTGGAGCCCCCTGTGGGGCCACGAAACGCTGTGCTGGGTGTGCTGACATGCGTGGCGATGATCGTGATGATGACGGCGATGCCGATTACGATGATGGCGATGGTGGCGGCGATGTGATGATGCAGATGATAATAGCGACGTTGATGTTGACTATGCTGATGCTGCTGGTGATGCTGATGATGACCATGACGATGATGATGCTGATGATGCTGATGATGATGCTGCTGATGCTGATGATGATGCTTGTGATGATGTTGCCGATGATGATGATGATGATGATGATGATGATGATGATGATGATGATGATGATGATGATGATGATGCTGATGCTGATGCTGATGCTGATGATGATGAGGATGAGGATGAGGATGAGGATGATGATGAGGATGAGGATGAGGATGAAGACGACGATGATGATGATGATGATGATGCTGATGATGATGATGATGATGATGATGATGATGATGATGATGATGGTGGTGGTGGTGGTGGTGGTGGTGGTGATGATGAGGATGATGATGATGACGACGACATGTTGATTATGTTGGTGTTGAAGAGGATGAGGACGATGCTGATGCTGATGATGCAGATGATGTTGATGACGACGATTATAATGATGATGATGCTGATGATGCTGCTGCTGATGATGAAGGTTGTGATGATGGTGCTGATGGTGGTGACTGTGGTGATGCTGATGATGATGATGGAGGAGGAGGGAGAAGGGGGAGGGTGATAATGGGAGGAGGGAGGAGGGGCAGGAGGAAGGAAGGACGGGAGTAAGGAAGGAAAGAGGAAGCAACGCGGGGCGTTGTTCCATCAAAACGAGGACCCAACACCACAGGCTTGTTGGGCCGCACGCAAAGAGCATCGATGATGTTGTGCCTCTTTGGGCTCTCTTGGGGGTCCTCTTGAGGGTTCCTGGGGCTTATTGCGAAGGCCTTACGGCCAGTGCCGCCGACCCTGAATGGCGACGACGACGACGACGAGCGCTCTCGGGGGCCTCTTCGGGGTAGTTTGGGGGCCTCTTGGGAAGCTCTGGGGGGCCGCTTGGAATCCTCGTGGGAGCCTCTTGGGGTCTCTGGGGGTCTAAATGTCCGTTCGGGTCCCCCGTCTGGGCTCCTCCTTGGAGCCGTCTTGGGGGCCTCTTCGGCTGTCTTGGAGGCCTCTTGGTCGGTCTTGGGGCCCTCTTGGGTCGTTTTGGGGCTCTCTTGGAGGCCTCTTGGGCGATATTGAGGCGGTCTTGGGGGCTTCTTGGCCTGTCTTGGAGCGTCGGGAAGCGGACAAGGCGAGAATGCCGAAATCTTTCAAACACTTAAGGGACATCTGTAATTTTTGCTCCTTGGGGCCCTCTTGGGAGTGCCCTTGGAGTGGGAACTTCCGAAGCTGTCTGGAGGCGATCGCGACTTGGACCGATACTTCGGCGATTCGGGTCCCTCGAGGCATTCTTGGGGGCATCTCGTGACACTCTTGCTACGGCTTGGCGATTGTCTGGGCTCCCGAGCCGCCGGGAGGGGAGTCGTATCTGACCCGGGACCCCCCCAGGACTTGACCCGGGACCCCCCCCCCCCAGGCGGGGAAGGGATCAAAGGGAAGGGGCTTCTCTTCGACTCAACTACAGCGCTGCTCAATTTCGCTGTGGCTGGCGCGCTCGAGGAGAGCCCGGTGAAAGTGGAGGCAGCGGCGCCAGTCTCAGGGAAGGGGACCGGCGACGGCGACAGCGACCACGACGACGACAACAACGACCACGACGACGACGAGCACGAGTCAAACGGAACAGCCTCTTCCACACGTCGACAGGGTCGGCGGATTTGGGGCCTCTTGGGCCGTCTTGGGGCCATCTTGGGCGTCTCGGAGCTCCTCTTGGGCTGTCTTGGAGGCATCTTGGACCCTCTTGGGCGCTTTCTGGTGCCCTCTTGGCCCGTCTTGGGGCCCTCTGGCTTCTGGAAAAGTCACGTGGGGCAACCCAAGAACGCGCGGGAACGCCCGGAACATCTGAGAATTTTGGGCCCCAGCCCTTTACCTAATACTACCTATACGACCACCCTTCGGGTGATAAGGAGGTTGTGGGGGGGGAGGGGGGGGAACCAACATCTGACTCAATCGATCTCACACTTGTCGATCTCACTATCGATCTCACTATCGATCTCACTCAATGGGACACCACGGGACGGCACGGGACACCACGGGTCACCACGGGACACCGCAGGACATCTCTCGATCTCATTATCGGTCTCACTCTCGATCTCACTATCGATCAACGAGACACCATAGGACACAACGGTACACCTCGGGACACCACATCGATCTCACTATCGATCTCACTATCGATCTCACTCATCGGGACACCACGGAACACTTGTCGATCTCACTATCGATCTCACTATCGATCTCACTCCACGGGACACCACGGAACATCGAGGGACACCGCTAGGGCCACCGACGGACGGACGGACAGGGGAGAATCATTTGTCTCAACTTCGCCCTAGCAACGGCGGACACCATGGGACACCGCGGGATACCGCTAGGGCCACCGCCGGACGGACGGACGGGGGAGAATCAATTGTCTTGACTTCGTCCTAGCAACGGCGGGTTCATTCCTCTCGCGCGCCCACGCAGCTTCGCCTCGCCCGCACGCACGACACGAACGAAGCGAAACGATTTCCCGGTTGGGGGTCTCCGTTCCACTGCGATCGCACCCCCCGACCTCCGATAACCCAGGAGTCCTGGGTACAGAGAACAAACATAGAACACATGAGAGCCTGCGGGTAACTCCACTTCGTGCCTCCGGGCACGGTGGCGGATTGCCTCCTCTCCTCTCTACTCCTTCGTACTACCTCTTGTATCTACCGCTCACTCTTCGCAGGGTAATCAGAAGATCAAGCTGCCCGTGCTCGGCATCGCGGAGCGGTGGTTCGCACCCAGGCTGCTATGCAATATGTATTTTTGCAGGGCGGAGTATGGACTGGACGTCCTCTTGCTCCCTCTCGCTCTTCCTCCGCCTCCTCCCTTTTTTTCCGGAAAGGGCTGAAGCCCAGGGTTCTCCTTGAATTGTTCAACCAAGGGCCGGGTTTTTACTTGCGATGGGCCGGCGATTTTCTTGTGCGATGAAAGCCAGGTCGAGGATGTTCCTAGCGACACGCTGGTTGTTCCCCACATCCTGAGTGGGGTTTTTGTATTCCAAGAATACCCTCTCCTTCTCCTTCTCCTTCTCCCGCTTCCTGTTCCACATGCAATCGCAAAACCATGCATACCACACCATACCATACCATACAATAATCTGTCATGCAACACCATATCATATGATTTCGTGCCCCTCCCACCCCTTCAGGGAGGCCCCGCCTGAGCGAGGACATTATTCGGATACCATGGGATTTCTCTGGTTTCGTGCCGCTCCCACCGCCCCTCCCACCCCTCCAGGGAGGCCCCGCCTGAGCGAGGATAGTATTCGGATACCATGTGATTGATCGGGTTTCGTGCCGCTCCCACCGCCCCTCCCACCTCTCCAGGGAGGCCCCGCCTGAGCGAGGACAGTATTCGGATACCATGTGATTTATCAGGTATCCTGCCCCTCCCACCCCTCCAGGGAGGCCCCGCCTGAGCGAGGACAGTGTTCAGATACCATGCGATGTATCAGGTTACGTGCCGCTCCCACCGCCCCTCCCACTCCTCCAGGGAGGCCCCGCCTGAGCGAGGACAGTGTTCAGATACCATGTGATTTGTCAGGTTACGTGCCGCTCCCACCGCCCCTCCCACCCCTCCAGGGAGGCCCCGCCTGAGCGAGGACAGTATTCGGATACCGCGTGATTTGTCAGGTTACGTGCCGCTCCACCGCCCCTCCCACCCCTCCAGGGAGGCCCCGCCCGAGCGAGGACAGCATTCGCATACCATATGACTTATCAGGTGTCCTGCCCCTCCCACCCCTCCAGGGAGGCCCCGCCTGAGCGAGGATAGTATTCGGATACCATGTGATTTATCAGGTTCCATATCCCTCCCACCCCTCCAGGGAGGCCCCGCCTGAGCGAGGACAGTATTCGGATACCATGTGATTTATCAGGTGTCCTGCCCCTCACACCCCTCCAGGGAGGCCCCGCCTGAGCGAGGACAGTGTTCGGATACCATGTGATTTATTAAGTTTCGTTCCCCTCCCACCCCTCCAGGGAGGCCCCGCCTGACAAGGACAGTGTTCGCATTCGCATACCATGTGATCCGTAAGGGCTTCGCCCCATGCCGCCGGCCCCCTTGTCTCGGATACTGGGAGATGCAAAAGCTAAATCATGAGGTCTGGGCGCTGCCGAGAAGCAGTGTCGGGACCTGTTGACCCTGACCCTACGGATCTGCGTGAGGAGTGCCACCGAATTTCAGAAATGCGTCAAATCCCCTTTGTTTTTGGACCGTGACGCTACGGATCTGCGTGAGGGGTGCCAGCGAATGTCCGAAATGTTGCAAACCCTCAGTCTTTTTGGACCCTGATCCTGTCGATCCGCGTGAGGGGTGCCACCGAATTTCAGAAATGTTGAGAATCCCAGAAAGGTTTTCGGACCCTGACCCCGCCGATCTGCTTGCGGGGTACCATCGAATTTCAGAAACGTGGCAAATCCCATGTGTTTTTGGACCCTGACCCCGCCGATCTGCGTGAGGGGTGCCACCGGATTTCAGAAATGTGGCAAATCCCATGTGTTTTTGGATCCTGACCCCGCCGATCTGCGTGAGGGGTGCCACCGAATGTCAGAAAGGAGGCAAATCCTGTGTGTGTTTTTGGACCGTGACCCCGCCGATCTGCGTGAGGGCTCGTGCTTTCAGCCCCACAGTTTCGACGGATCCGTCTCATAGAACTCTCCTCCCCACGTTACGCTGCACGAAGACCAACCTCATGCTTTGCATTGCTCTACTCAGGTCAAGACCTGGTATTGTACATGATGTGTGTGTGTGTGTTATGCCTGTGCCGTGCTGCGTGAAATGGGCAAGGAGTGCACCCGTCGCATCACTCCTGTCTGTGCAAAATACCGTAGCAGGATCCCGCGGGATCTCGAGCCAAAGGTTGTAAGTGCAGCCGAGAAGCGCCACTGCGGTAGAGTGGATTGTGCATGTTTCGTGTGTTTCACGTTGGCTGGCATGCGTTGGCTTTATCACATGGTCAAAACCATACTCATACCCCTTCCCCTCGCCCTCCCCTTCGCCCGCCCCCTCCCTCTTTTCATCATCCTTATTCTCTTCCCCCCAGTCGCTCTTCCCCCGCCTCCTCCCGGCCCTCCCCATATTCCCGAAAGCGGCAGGCTGGCCACGTCGCCAAACGCGCCCTTCTTCCGCAACCTGTGGGGCGTGGGGGGACGGGGGGCGTGCAGGCGCGAGCGCCGGCGTGGGCGCTGGCATGGGCGCGCGGCGCGTGTGCGCGCGTGCGGACGCGCGCGCGGCTGTGAGAGTCGCACCACCTCTCCAAGCTGGCTGCCTGGGGCTGCTTGGGTGCTGCCCAGGAACTGCGCGCCAGCCGAGAAGGGGGGGAGGGGGGGGCAGCCGCAGGGAGGACGGGTTCCCGTGGGACTCCATCTTGTGGGGGCTCCATTTTGTGGGGCCCCTATCGTGTGGTGACCGATCGTATGGGGCACCATCGAATGGGACCCGTTGGACCCTGTCGCCTGGGGCCCTAACGGTGGGCCCGCGATAGGATCCCATTTGATTGTCCCAGACCGCACCCCGCCGCACAGGGGCCCCGGGCTCTTCGGCCCCGCCCCAGCTGCCCCTGGCCCAGCGCCGCCTTCCGCCTGGCCCTGCCCCCCGCCATGGTGTTGCTCCCCGCGTGGCCGCCAGCTCCAGCTACCCGGCCCCGCCCTCGACCAGGCCCCCCATGCCCCCAGTGCGCTGCTCCGCGTTGCCCTCCAGCCTGCTTCGCTCGGGCTGTCCCTCAGAGGCGGCGAATGAAACATGAAACAAAGACATGCACAAACTTTCTAGTTGTTAGCGCAGTTCCAAGTACGTAATCCGGGCGGACCTCCGAAAGTTGATGTTTATGCAACTTTTTATGCTTTTCTAGAGGAGGTACCGGTACCGCTGCTCATCTTGGAGAGCTTTCGTCGCCACGGCTGGATTATCCTCGGGATTCTGGCCAGAGTGCACCCTGGGGGAGGTCTGGGGAGTAGCGGAATCGGTGCGTTCTTGTCCCCCCAGTTCCTGGCCGCTGTTGCCGCCAGCTTCACCTCCTTCGGCCCTGTCCCGGCCCCTCCCCTTGCCCTGGTGTTCGCCCTCTTTTGCCTTTAGTTTCCTTCGCTCGGCCCTGCTCCTGACCGTCCCCAGCTCTGGCGTCGCCCTCCGTTCCCTTGTTTTCACTGTCTCCTGTCGCCTTGTTGGGGCCTCTCACGCTGGTTTCATGACCTTTTGCCGAGTTGCCACAGCAATCCGCTGCCAGACACGTCGGTTAAGACTCGCCTCACTCCGTCGCGGTTGGGCTGGGCCTGGGCGGACCACAGATCAGACCGCGGGCGCACCGTCAGCCGGCGTCGCCCGGGGGATCTCCTGCAAGGGGCCTCAGGTGGACGGGGAGACGGAGGAGAGGGACGGGCGGTGTGCCGGACAAGGCCGCGCGGTTGATGTGCAGTATTCGGGCACGCGCTGGTGTGGATTAGGGATCCGTGGATCGGGCGCGTGGGCGCTAGATCCACGGATTGAGCAGGTCCCCCCCGAAATTTGGGGCCAGTGCCGCCCGATTTGGCGACGGAGCGCGCCGATTCCGCACGGAAGCGGGACCCGTCGGTAATCCACGCGTCGCTAATCCATGCTCGCGTTTCCTCGATGTGCCGTGCTCATTTCACCGTTGTGATGGCTGGGGTGCGGAGGTCGATCATCTTCCTGGACTTGGGCGTGCCCCGCCTCGCGGTGGGCCGACTCCCTCTCGAGCCGGCGGTCTTGTGTTGTCCCATCTTTGGCCCTCCGCAGTGTGGGGCTGCTTGCATGAGTCCTTGGTGCTCTGGGGTGTCGTGGAGTCGTGTGTTGCTCGTGCTCACGTGTATCATCCCATACCTCCTCGAGGCTGCAGGGACCCACTGGCTTTGCTCCGAGGTATCATCATGCAGCTCGCACGTGTTGGCGGCATTAGTAGCCAATTCTCAGTGTCCTCGATGTGTATTTGTACGCAGTGCGTCAGAGTGCAAACATGTTGATGAGCAGACGTGGATCTTCAGAGTCTCTTCCTCCTCCCTCCTCCCTCTTCCCGCCTTGGTCTGCAGGCTTTTCGATCTTGCACACTCCCGGCAGAGCCGCCCACGGCGGACTTTCGAGGACACTCGGGTTCCGAGTTCCGAGTTCCCTCTTCCCTTCCTCGTCTCCTCCCCTTCGTGGATATATCTCTTTCAGGCGTTTGCTTTCTACCATGCCATGCCGCAGAGGGCTTCCGTACATCGTTGCGCGTATCCTTGATCGATATTTCCCGCGTTGGCGTTGGTTTCCGCGACCCAGTTCAGGCCTTTTCATTCTGATGTAGGCAAGCCGAATACAAGATACATGCAGTACTGACGATAAGTACAAGCTCATCACCAGCTTCGGCAAAACAGCTAAATGAAACACGTTGTCACATATTCTGGTATTGCGCTGCCCCGTTCAAATTGCAGTATTCCCAGTCATCCTGGGTGTTGGGTCCTCGTTTTGAATCCGCAGCGCCCCGCGTCTCCTCACATCCCGCCTCCCCCTCCTCCGTTGTACCTTTCTTTGTCACTGCCCGCCTCATCCTGCATACCCATTTCCACGCGTTCGTGATCCCATAGGCAGCTCCAGCTAAGGCCCAAAAATGCAGGGTTCGCATGGCGGCCCCGCCTCATTTCGGCACACCCATCTCACGCTTCGTGGCTCCATAGGGAACTCCAACGAAGGCTCAAATGCCATGGTTCGCATGGAGGCTCCGCCCTCATTTCAGCACACCCCTCAAATGTTTCGTGGCCTTCTAGGGAGCTCCAAGTACGGCCCAAATGCCAGGGTTCGCATGGCACCGCCGCCCGCATGGTGGCACGCTCCTCACCCGTTTCGTGGCCCCATACAGGGAGCTCCAATGAATGCCCAAATGCGAGGGTTCGCATGCAGCTGGTTTCGGCCCCACCGAGGGGCCCATTCCTCGATACATCGTCGCCTCCGGCGCCGGGAGGCGCCGGGAAAATCAGCTACGTGAGCTGATTCTCAACCCCCCCCTTTGCTATCCCCCCCTTTCGCCCGACCCGAGCTTCATTTCGGCACACCGCTCACACGCTTCGTGCCCCACTATGGATCTCCAACTAAGGCCCAACTGCCAGGATTCGCATGACGCACCGCTTCATCCCAGAACACACACCACACGTTTCGCGTCCCCATGGGAAGTTCCAATTGAGGGTCTCATGGCGGCCCCGCCTCATTTCCGTACACAGTCACACGTTTCCTTGGCCCCACAGGAAGCTCCAAGTAAGGCCCACGTGCCAGAGTTCGCATGACGGCCGCAACCTCATTCCAGATCCCCCTCCACTCGTTTCTTGACCCCATTGATTGGGAGCTCCAGATGAGGGCCAAATGCCAGGGTCCGCATGCTGGCCCCGCCTCATTCTGGCACACCCCTTAAATGTTTCGTGGCCTCATGGGGAACCCCAGCGACGGCCCAACTGCCAGGATTGGCATGGTGACCACGCCTCATGTCGGCACCCCCCTCACCCGCTTCGTGTCCCCATAAGGAGCTCCAACGAAGGCCCAGATGCTAGGGTTCGCATGGCGGCTCCGCCTCATTCTGGCACACCACTCACACGTTTCGCGTGCCAATAGGGAGTTCCAACGAAGGCCCTAATGCCATAGTTCGCGTGGCGGTCCCGCATCATTTCAGCATACCCCTCAAGGGCTTCGTGGTACCATGGGGGGGCCCAACGAAGGCCCAACTGCCAGGGTTCGCATGGTGGCCCCACCTCATTTCAGCACATCCCTCACACGTTCCTTGACCCCATTAAAGGGGGTTCCAACTAAGGCCCAACTTCCAGGGTTCGCATGGCGGCCCCATCTAATTTCAACACACACCTCCCCATAAGGAGTTCCATCTGAGGCCCACATGCCAGGGTTCGCATGGCGGCCCTGCCTCGTTTCAACCCATTCCGGCCACACAGGGAGCTCGACCGAATGCCCCAGCTGCAGGGTTTGCATGGCACCGCCGCCCGCATTTCGGCACACCCCTAACCCGTTTCGTGGCCCCATCGGCGATACGAGCTCCACCAACGGCTCCAGGGCTAGCGCCCGCATGGCAGCACGTCCCCCATTTCGGCACACCTCTCACAAGCTGTTTGGCCCCATATGAAGGTCCCCTTCCTTCGTCTCACTTGCTTCGCCGTACGTACGCTTGCATGTGATTGGGTCCGTCGCCGGGATAGTAGAGTTGCTTTTTGATCTTGCGTATAAAGCCCTGTTCAGATGTGCCGTGCGTATAATGCATGTACATCGGGTTGTTTTGTTTCGTGTTGTATTCCTTGAAGTGGCTCGCATTGCTACGCTGAACTTTTGCGGTTCGTTGTTTTGCCTTGCCATGCGTTGTTTTGATTAAATGTGCTTCGCTGTGCCGCACGTTTCTTCGCCTTGCTTGCTTTTAAGTTTGATTTCGAGTGCCTAGGTATTATTTTCATGTCAGTGCAGGGCAGTTCATTTTATGTGAACTTGATTCCTCTCGCTTCGCGGGGTGCACGTCCGGAGCGCGTACAGTCCAGTCGTTGTCGGGCCTCTGGGAACTTCTTTGGGGCTTCCTTGGAGGCATCGTTGGGGCCTCTTGGGTCCTCTCGGGGGCGTCTGGGAGGCCACTTGGGGGCCTCTGGGGGGGCCTCTTGGGGGCCTCTCGGAGCCCCGTGTGGGTGTCTTGGGGGCGCTCTTGCGCTGTCTGGTCCCTTCGGAGGCTGCCTTGGGGTACTCTTGGGCCGTCTTGGGGGCCTCTTGGGGCATCTCGGCGGCCTCTTTGGGCTGTCTGGGGACCCTCTTGGGCCGTTTTCGGGCCCTCTTGGGGGCTTCTTGGGCTGTCTGGGGGCCACTTCGGAGGCTGTTTCGGCCGTCCTGGACCTCCTAGAGTCGAAATAGGCGGGAACGCTGAAATCTTCAACTAATCCATAGGAAAATCAATGGTTTGTGGCTTGTGGAGGTGCTCTTGGGGATCCTCTGGGGGCCCTCTTGGGGCGTCTTGGGGTCTTTGTAGGCCCTCTTGGGGCCATCTTGGGCCGTCTTGGGGCCGTCTTGGGCCGTCTTGGGGCCATCTCGAGCCGTGTTGAGGTCTTGTTGGGCCCCAAGAGCGCCAACAGGCCCAACTCATTGATTTTCTGCAGGTTTTGGTAGGTTTTTGAAGCGCAGGAGGGAGGGGCCACTTTGGGTCGGCGGAAGTGGCGTGGCCTCTGGGGGGGGGTTGGGGGGGTACATAATAATGTAACACTATACAATATGTAGCAATTATGCAATCATTGGATACATTGGATACCTTTGCATTATAGCCTCCGCGGACCTGCCTCCGGCAACACGTCACCTCCGGACGTGGATTCCTCTCGCTTCGCAGGGTGCACGTCCGGAGCACGCACAGTCCAGTCGTTGTCGGGCCTCTGGGAATTTCTTGGGGGCCCCTTGGGGCCTCTTGGGTCCTCGCGGGGGCGTCTGGGAGGCCTCTTGGGGGCCTCTTGGGGCCCCGTGTGGGCGTTTTGGAGGCGCTCTTGCGCTGTCTGGTCCCGTCGGAGACTATCTTGGGGTACTCTTGGGTCGTCTTTGGGGCCTCTTGGGGCTGTCTGGGGGCCCTCTTGTGCCGTTTTGGGGCCCTCTTGAGGGCTTCTTGGGCCGTCTGGGGGCCACTTCGGAGGCTGTTTCAGTTGTCCTGGACCTTTGAGGGTCGAAATAGGCGGGAACGCTGAAATCTTCAACTAATCCATGAGAAAATCAATGGTTTGTGGCTTGTGGAGGTGCTCTTGGGGATCCGCTGGGGGCCGTCTTGGGGCGTCTTGGGGTATTTGTAGGGCCTCTTGGGGCCATCTTGGGCCGTCTTGGGGCCATTCTGGGCCGTCTTGGGGCCATCTCGAGCCGTCTTGAGGCCTTGTTGGGCCCCAAGAGGGCCAACAGGCCCAACTCACTGAATTTCTGCAGGTTTTGGTAGGCTTTTGAGGCGCAGGAGGGAGGGGCCACTTGGGTCGGCGGAAGTGGCGTGGCCTCTGGGGGGGGGTTAGGGGGGTACATAATAATGTAACACTATACAACATGTAGCAATTATGCAATCATTGGATACATTGGATACGTTGCATTATAGCCTCCGCGAACCTGCCTCCGGCAACACGTCACTTCAGGACGTGGATTCTACAGGCTTACGCCACATCCGCCGACCCCTTGTTTTTACCACCCGGGCGGTTGAGAGCATTTGGGGCGCCACCTTTTACCTGATTTCAAGGCTTGCCTGGAGGCTGGTGTTGGAGGTCGGCCTGCTCAGAGAAGGAGGAGGTGTGGGGGGAGCATGATAGGCGGTGGAGGAGGAAATGGAGTGCGAGACATGCGGCGAGACCGCTCCTTGTCACGATCTATTCGGAGAGGGTCTGGCCAGAGAGGCCCCTGGAGTCAAGAACGGCGCTCTCGCCCGAGACTTCCTTGCATTTCAATGAAGCTGCTGGGGGCCCTATTGCAACAAGAAGGGCTCCCGCTTCATGCGTCCTCACGATTTATTCAGAGCAACCCTGGCCAGAGAGGCCACGGGGGCCAGGGCTGGTTCAAATTCTTTACGCTTCGCGTATCCCCACCAGCCCATCTCACAGCAGCAACTCTTGCGAAGCATGCCGACAGTCGTGTTTTTCAGGCGTGTGTCCGCTTGGCCCCGCATATCTCCCCTGTTCCTCCTTCCTCCCGCCTCCTTGTACATCCTCCTTGTGGGGGGA